GTTCATCAATATTAGCGGTGTAATTCCTGTAACGATTTACAGGTGCTGGTCATAAAATTAGAATATCGTGAAAGAGTTGATTTATTTCAGTAATTCCATTCAAAAAGTGAAACTCATGTTATATTCATTCATTACACACAGACGGATATATTTCAAATGTTTATTTATTTTAATGTTGATGATTATAACTGACAACTAATGAAAACTCCAAATTCAGTATCTCAGAAAATTAGAATGTTATTTAAAACCAATAAAAAGGATTTTTAGAAATGATGGTCAACTGAAAAGTATGAACATGAAAAGTATGAACATGAAAAGTATGAGCATGTACAGCATCAATACTTAGTTGTTGCTCCTTTTGCCTGGATTACTGCAGTGATGCAGCGTGGCATGGAGTGGATCAGTCTGTGGCACTGCTCAGGTGTTATGAGAGACCAGGTTGCTCTGATAGTGGCCTTCAGCTCTTCTGAATTGTTGGGTCTGGTGTATCACATCTTCCTCTTCACAATACCCCATAAATTTTCTACGGGGTTAAGGTCAGGCAAGTTTACTGGCCAATTAAGAACAGGGATATCATGGTCCTTAAACCAGGTACTGGTAGCTTTGGCACTGTCTGCAGATGCAAAGTCCTGTTGGAAAATTAAATCTGCATCTTCATAAAGTTGGTCAGCAGCAGGAAGCATGAAGTGCTCTAAAACTTCCTGGTAGACGTCTGTGTTGACCTTGGACCTCAGAAAACACAGTGGACCAACACCAACAGATGACATGTCACCCCAAACCATCACTGACTGTGGAAACTTTACACTGGACCTCAAGCAACATGGATTCTGTGCCTCTTCTCTCTTCCTTCAGACTCTGGGACCTTGATTTCCAAAGGAAATGCAAAATTTACTTTCATCAGAGAACCTAACTTTAGACCAATCGGCAGCAGTCCAGTCCTTTTTGTCTTGAGCCCAGGTGAGATGCTCTGATGCTGTTTCTTGTTCAAGAGTGGCTTGACACAAGCAAGGCAACAGTTGAAACCCATGTCTTGCATACGTCAGAGCGTGGTGGTTCTTGAAGCATTGACTCCAGCTGCAGTCCAGTCTTTGAAAATCTCCCCCACATTTTGGAATGGGTTTTGTTTCACCATCCTCTCCAGGGTGCGATTATCCCTATTGCTTGTATACTTTTTTCTACTACATAATTTCCTTACCTTAGCCTCTAATAATGTGCATGGACACAGAGCTCTGTGAACAGCCAGCCTCTTTAGCTATTACCTTTTATATCTTGCCCTCCTTATGCAAGGTGTCAGTGGTCGTCTTTTTGACAACTTTCAAGTCAGCAGTCTTCCCCATATTTTTGTAACATAAAGAACTAGACTTTAAAGGCCTTTGCAGGTGTTTTCAGTTAATTAACTGATTAGAGTGTGGCACCAGGTGTCTTCAGTATTGAACCTGTTGGCTGTGGCTGAGTGGTTAGAGCAGTCGTCTTCCAATGCAAGAGTTGGGGGTTCGAATCCACCAGCAGTCACATGCCGAAGTGTCCGTGGGCAACACACTGAACCCCTCATTGCCTCCAATGTGTGTCCCATCAGTGTATGAATGTGGTAAAGCACTAATTAGTCTCTTAAAAAAAGTATTTGTTTAATTAGCTTTGTAGAGATCTAGTAGAGTGCTGTATGAATGGGTAAATGAGGACACAGATTGTAGTGTAAAGCGCTTTGAGTATCTCGATAAGATAGAAAGGTGCTATATAAGTACAGTCCATTTACCATTTTACCATTTAACCTTTACACAATATTCTAATTTTCAGGGCTATGTTTAATAGTGAAAGAGCATTTCCACACGCACAATGTGAAGGGAACTCAAGGGATTGGGACTGAACAGCTGTGTAGCCTTAAGAAAACCACTAATCAGTGAAGATAACTGGGAAAAAAAGGCTTCAATTTGCTAGGGAGCTTAAAGATTGGAATTTGGAGCAATGAAAGAAGGTTATGTGGTCTGATGAGTCCATATTTACCCTGTTCCAGAGTGATGGGCACATCAGGGTCAGAAGAGAGGCAGGTGAAGTGATGCACCCATCATGCCTAGTGCCTACTGTACAAGCCTGTGGGGGCAGTCTATGATCTGGGGTTGCTGCAGTTGGTCAGGTCTTGGTTCAGCAACAGTATGTGCTCAAAGAATGAGGTCAGCTGACTACCTGAATATACTGAATGACCAGGTTATTCCATCAACAGATTTTTTTCTTCCCTGATCGCACAGGCATATTCCAAAATGCCAGGATTCATCGGGCTCGAACTGTGAAAGAGTGTTTCTGGGAGCATGAGACATCATTTTCACACATGGACTGGCCACCACAGAGTCCAGACCTTAACCCCTTGAAAATCTTTGGGATGTGTTGGATAAGGCTTTGTGCAGTGCTCAGAATCTGACATCATCAATGCAAGATCTTGGTGAAAAATTAATGCAACACTGGATGGAAATGGATCTTGTGACATTGCAGAAGCTTATTGAAACAATGCCACAGTGAATGCATGATGTAATCAAAGGTAAAGGCGGTCCAACGAAATATTAGTGTGTGAACTTTTTTTTTTTAGTGACAACTCTTTTTTTTTTTGGCCAGGCAGTTTATCTACTGGGTAAACCGAGAGCTTTGCCTTACAGCTCAGCTCTCTCTAGTGCAAAATTTTAAAATGTACAGTAAGTTATACGTTTGGTTGTTTAATCCTACACTAGCTTTTTCAGTGGTTTTATTTACAGACCTTGGCAATCTGTCCCATTGTCCCTTGCGGGATGAAAAACAGCTAAAGTAACAACTGTTTTATTACATAATTGAATAGCAGAAGTGACCTTTTAATTATGGTACACTAGATTTACAGTAAAAATTATTAAGGTGCAGTCAAGCAAAAGGCCAAAGAATGCAAGTGTAAAACAAGAAACAAGAAATGTTTTGTGTGAAAGGTTACAGAATGCTTGTGAACAAATATTTCCCCCTTCTATGTTCAGATGTAATTTAGTGACAACAAAATCAGAACAAAGTATGAATAACAAACATACAGTGTACACACATCTATGCCAAACACTCAACACATCAGAACTACTGAATACTAAATGACTAAATTAGAACACCATGCCATCTCACATAGAGAACACAGTTATCATAGGCTACTTTCTAAAGGAGCTCTACTGAGGATTTATGGTAAATAGTAAATGGATTTTTACCGGTACTTGTATAGTGCCTTTCTATCTAGTTAAGATACTCGAAGCGCTTTACAATATAATCTGTGCCCTCATTTACCTATCCACAAAGCAATCTACTAGATCTTTACAAAGCTAATCTGAATCTGTAGAGACTAATCAGTGCTTTATCACATTCATACACCGATGGGACACACATCGGAGGCGATGAGGGGTTCAGTGTCTTGCCCAGGGACACTTCAGCATGTGACTGCTGGTGGAATCAAACCCTCAACTCTCCCATTGGATGACAACTGCTGTAACCACTCAGCCACAGCTGCCCCTCGAATGAATTAAGGAGAGAGCCGTGTCAAACTCCAAGATGGCTGCCACATATATATATCTATATATGTAAACTTTGTGATCTGGATAACTGTAAAATTAGGCAATAGGCAAACTTTGTTTTTGATGAGTGGCTGCATCTAGGTGTAAAAAAAGGTTCCTTTCGAAAACTGGGTTAGCTCGTCAAAATGTCAGATGGCCTCTACTATATGAAAACTTGTGAACTGAATAACTTGAAAACTAGGCATTTGGCAAACTTCCCTTTTGTTTTATGGCTGCATCTAAACTTAAGACAAGTTCCTTTCGAAAATGGGGTTGCCACTTGAACCTCCAAGACGGCCACCATCATACACATATGCAAACCAGCCACCTCTGTCATAAAAAAAAAACAAAAAAACTATGCTTTGTAGTTTTTGCATTGTTTAAAAGTATAGGTTACTCAAGTGACTGGGGTGACTGAAGAGTATTCTGTAGCTACCAAGGTCACCACTGACCATCTGCCTCGCTCCGCCATTGCACCTGGTGGTGGATAAAATTGTTCTCACTAACCAGGATACGTCACTCTGCACCGCCTTAGACTTGGAAAAAAATGACTACCTCTGTTCTATATAGTGTAACTCCTACCCACTTGAATAACTTAAACCAAAAACATTGTTTACTTGCATTTCCTGTTAAATTTGTGTCCAGAAAAACGAGCTTCTCGAACTACAAACCTTTACTATTCAAATCCTTCAGCAACGGGAACATTGGCTTTGGCTTGTTTATGATTTTACATTTTAAATTTTAGTCATTTGTTTCAAGTATTGATTTACTCTGTGGTGATTCACTGTAAATGTTCAGCTTTTTTACAAGTTGATTGCTGATTGAAAGAAGCAATTCAGAGTGCATGAAGCAGCTTGTGCTTCCTTTCAGAAGTGCTGGATACATGCCATGGTACACGATAAGGATTGAACGAAGGATAAACAATATACTGCTGGAACACTGTAGGGGCCAATGAATTATGGGTATTTTTTTTTTAGTTTTGTTTCTAACACTGACAATTGTCACATCATACAAAAACTCACAAACTACAGAGAATATTTATAAGCCTTGTTTGTTTGAATACATTAGCAGTTAGAGATGGTAACTGTAGTGTACTGTAACAACAATGTCTAACAGGATAAAAGGCAAGCTTGTTCAACTTTCTAGGAAATGTAAGTTTGTCATAAATCAGACACTCGTGCTATGAGCCAACAAAGAGTAAACATACTCAAAAACACACAAGTAAACTCACAAGTATTCCCCTGATTATCTATGAAAAGAACTGAAATGGAGAAAATGAGCAATGTGTTATTTTAGTTAATATTTTGCGCACAAAAATCTGTATTTGAGCTTTTTTAAATTATTTCGCACGGCCAAAAAAAAAAGAGAATAGAGGGAGAAACCTCTAAACCCAAGCACTTAAAACAAAAAGGCATGTTGTACTGGGTATATGTTAATGTCCTTTCTTTTCTTCTCCAGTCCCCAAGGATGTCAAAGCGGAGTTTGTTTGTTCGCCTGGTGCCGTGCCGCTGCTTGCGGGGTGAGGAGGAGGCAGTAACATCGCTGGACTACTCCCACAGCAGCCTGGAGACTGTTCCCAAGGAGATCTTTAGTTTTGAGAAGACCCTGCAGGAACTCTACCTCGATGCCAACCAGATAGAGGAACTGCCTAAAGTAAGATGTATACAGTTTTCATTTAGCTAAAAAATAAACCTTTTTGAATATACATTTATTAGTATTGCCTGTGAAAGCAGTTGTTACATTATTTATTCATGGTTTATTTATTTTGGCTTGTTGTCCCCGTCGCAGAGCCAAAAGGGGGAATTTGAATCAATCACATACTCTGTCCATTCCTGCATATTTTGATTGTGATAACTTGAAAAATAAGTGAGGTACTGATTTCCATTTTGATGTGTGGGTGCATCTAGGCATAAGAAAGTATTTATTTATTTATTTATGTTGTTCGAAAATTGGGTTGCCATGTCAACATTCCTGATATGTAAACGTTTTGAGTTGGATAACTTGAAAAATAAGCAAAAGGCCGACTTTTTTTGGTGTGTGACGAATTGTAATGTTGGTGGTTGCTGTTGAAAACTGGGTTGTCGTGTCAAAATCCTCTGGTATCCTCTGGTAAAATGGTATTTCCTCTTTTTAAAAATGGTGACAAATGTGTATTTAATAACTACAGACCGATATCCTTGTTACCACAGTTTTCTAAAATCTTGGAGAAACTATTCAGTAACAGACTGGACCAATTTATTGAAAAACAAAATATTCTAACTAATAATCAATATGGTTTTAGAACAAAAAATTCAACATCTATGGCGCTTATGGACTTTATGGAACAAGTAACTACTGCGGTTGACCGTAAACAATATTGTGTAAGTGTGTTTGTTGACTTGAAAAAGGCATTTGATACTGTTGACCATAATATTCTTTTTGATAAATTATACAAATATGGTATCAGAGGTTTAGCTTTACAATGGGTGTGTAGTTACTTGAAAAACAGGAGACAGTTTGTACAGATGAATGATGTGAAATCGGATCACTGTACTATTACTTGTGGAGTTCCTCAAGGATCCGTACTTGGCCCAAAGTTGTTCATTTTGTATGTAAATGATTTGGTCAAGGTGTCTGGCCTCCTTAAATGCGTTCTTTTTGCTGATGACACAACATTTTTTTGTTCTGGTAAAAATATTAAACAGTTATTGGAGTCAATGATGACGGAGTTTGTTAAAATTCAGAAATGGTTTAGACTAAACAAATTATCTTTAAATTTGGATAAAACAAATTACATGATATTTAGTAATAGAAATAAAACTATTGATGTTCCATTTCAAATTGAAGATTCAATGATTTGTAGAGTTGAGGTGAAATTCTTGGGTGTCATCATTGACGATAAACTGTCGTGGAAACAACATATAAATTCTGTTAAAACGAAAATATCCAAATCTATTTATCCTGATGCATGCTCAATAATCCAGGTAGAAAAATCTACCTGGATCAGCTGGTTTTGGTTGTCAGCAGCAAAACTGGTTGATCCACTCTGAGACGGTGCTATTTAAGAGACTGAGCTGAATACAGCTCCTCAGACTGAGGAAGTCTCTCGGATGAGAGACGAAACGTTTCTACATTTTTTTGTTGATTTGCTTTGTTTTTTGTTTTTTTTTGAATGTCCAGAGGACCAGATTTAACTTTTTTAGATTCAAATCTATTGCAATTTTTTATAGAGTTAGGTATCTACTAAACGATAAAGCATTGTTTTTGTTGTATAATACAATTGTTGTTCCACACTTGGTTTATTGTGTTAATGTTTGGGGAAAAGCGTGTAAATCAATTACAAAGCCTATTTTTATATTGCAGAAAAGAGTTGTAAGAATTATCACAAGAAAACATTATTATCATCCATCAAGTATTTTATTTAATCAAATGAAACTGTTGAAATTCTATGATTTGGTGGATTATAACATTTTGTCACTTATGTATAGAGCTCATACAAATACACTACCTTCTAATATTCAAATGTATTTTGTGAAAAGATCAAGCTGTTACAATCTTAAGGGGAAAGATGTTTTTGTTAAACCGCAGTTCAGAACTAGTTTAAAGGGAAGATCTACCTTAATTCAGGGTGTTGGTTTATGGAATGACTTAGAGACAGATATTAAGGAAGCCAAATCAATCTTGGTATTTAAGAAACTGGTAAAAATCAAATTGTTAAAAAATATATATGAATGTAATTCATTGAAAATGTTTAATTGAAAAATTAAGCAAGTTATTTATTTGTTTTTGTTACTTACAGTAAATGTTTGTTTGAATTGTTTATTAGATAAATAAGGAGCAGACTTAATAAGATTTTTTTCTTCATCTGCTGCCTTTCATTTTATTTTTTTTGTTTTCAAATTACAAACATGTAAATTGATATGTATTCATATTATTATAAAATAAATAAATAAATAAAAATCCAAAGTGGCCGCAGCCGTGTTCGGTACAAAAAAAGGCCAAAATAAAGACTTACAAAGTGTTTATTTTGAAAATATGCCAAGTTAACAAGTTCAGTCATTACAGACTTTTTAGCTGGAGATGATCTGGTGGATGAAGAAGACTGCTGCTGTCATCATCAGTCTGCAAACAACACAAGGAGTTAAAAAAAATTGAGTTAATAAGATTATATATATTTTTTTTTAAAGTTAATTAGATCACAATAATACAATAACAACACCTCTTCTTGCATGGTCATATAAGGTGGATGAATATTCTCTCTCGCTCATCATCTTGTGGCAGGGCTTTACATCTGGGGTCAGGCTTGTTGACAATATCAGTTTTAGCTTTTTCATAAAGTGCTGCTACAACTTTTTGGCTGAAGTGTTGACGTGATGGGATGTCATAGCGGGATCAAGAACTTTAATCATTTGCTTAAAACCTGCACATCAATAACAGAAAATGGACGTAGATGCAGAGCTTTAAAAACTCCTACAGCTTGTGTTATTGCTCTGGACCGATCTGAATTACCTGATAAAGGTTGTTTAAATGCTGCTGTTATCGATCTTTGAAACAAACTACTTTCACATTCGGATGATGTCGTTTCAATGTGTTGACAAGTTAGACGTGTTGCCTGCTGCAGATCTAATCTCTGTGAAACAACGTCGACACACAGCTTTGGATTTGTTCACTTGTCTTTTAACAAGAAAGCCATAATTCTGCCAATATTATAGGCAGAAACATGGGTGTGCTATGGGGTCTCCAGTTTCTCCTATTGTTGCCAACCTGTACATGGAGGAGGTAGAAAAGAGAGCCTTGACGTACTTTTCAGGGACACCACCAAGTCATTGGTTCAGGTATGTTGACGACACCTGGGTTAAAATTAAATCTCAGGAAGTCCAACATTTTACTGACCACATCAACTCTGTGGATAAATACATCAAGTTCACACGAGAAGATGTAAAAAATGGCAAGTTGGCTTTCCTGGACTGTGAGGTCTCAGTCTCTGATAGAGGACAATTGCAAACCGAGGTGTACTGCAAACCCACCCACACAGACCAGTATTTGCAGTTTGACTCCCATCACCCTTTGGAGCACAAGTTAGGAGTCATCAGGACTCTGTACCACAGAGCAGACAGCATCCCCACTAGCTCAGGAGCCAGGCAGAAGGAGAAATCCTACACAAGACAGGCTCTAGAGCAATGTGGATATCCTAACTGGGCCTTCCTGAAAGCAGAGAAGAAACCCAAACAGGACTCCAGTCAGCCAACAGGTGAAAAGGAGGAACCCAGACCCAGACCAGTGGTCATTCCATATGTTGAGGGAGTATCAGAGAAACTGAGACGTTTATTTTCTAAACACAACGTCCCAGTGGCTTTTAAACCCCAAAATACATTACGGCAAAGACTGGTTCATCCCAAAGATCCAGTCCCCGGCACGAACAGAGCAATGTTGTGTATGCTGTTCAGTGTCAGGAGGGTGATCAGTCTTACATCGGGGAAACAAAACAGCCACTGGCCAAAAGGATGGACCAGCACAGAAGATCAACATCATCAGGTCAGGACTCTGCGGTCTACACTCATCTCCAGGCCAGCGGTCACTCTTTCAGGGATGAAGATGTTCACATCCTGGACAGAGAGGAACGATGGTTTGAGAGAGGAGTAAAGGAGGCCATCTTTGTGAAAAGAAATCGTCCATCATTAAACAGGGGTGGAGGCCTCCGGGTTCAACTGTCCCCCTCTTACAATGCTGTGATTGCTAGTATCACTCAGCCCTCTGTGAGTAGTAAACAGCCATCAGTGTGCTAATGATCCATTGTTAGGCTGATGGTCCTTCTTGAGCATGTGATCAGCTGGTTTTGGTTGTCAGCAGCAAACTGGTTGATCCACTCTGAGAAGGTGCTATTTAAGAGACTGAGCTGAAAACAGCTCCTCAGACTGAGGAAGTCTTTCGGATGAGAGATGAAACGTTTCTATATATACAGTGGGGAGAACAAGTATTTGATACACTGTTGATTTTTCAGGTTTTCCCACTTGCAAAGCTTGTAGATGACTGTAATTTTTATCATAGGTACTCTTCAACTGTGAGTGATGGAATCTAAAACAAAAATCCAGAAAAATACAATGTTTGATTTTTAAATAATTAATTTCCATTTTATTGTGTGAAATAAGTATTTGATACACCAGAAAAATTAAACTTAATATTTGGTACAGAAACCTTTGTTTGCAATTACAGAGATCAGACGTTTCCTGTAGTTCTTGACCAGGTTTGCACACACTGCAGCAGGGATTTTGGCCCACTCCTCCATACAGATCTCCTCCAGAGCCTTCAGGTTTCGGGGCTGTCGCTGGGCCACACGGACTTTAAGCTCCCTCCAGAGATTTTCTATGGGATTCAGGTCTGGAGACTGGCTAGGCCACTCCAGGACCTTAAGATGTTTCCTACGGAGCCACTCTTTAGTTGCCCTGGCTGTGTGTTTTGGGTCGTTATCATGCTGAAAGATCCAGCCACGACCCATCTTCAGTGCTCTTACTGAGGGAAGGAGGTTGTTGGCCAAAATCTCACGATACATGGCCCCATCCATCCTTCCCACAATATGGTGCAGTCGTCCTGTCCCCTTTGCAGAAAAGCATCCCCAAAGAATGATGTTTCCACCGCCATGCTTCACGGTTGGGATGGTGTTCTTGGGGTTGTACTCATCATTCTTCTTCCTCCAAACATGACGAGTGGAGTTTAAACCAAAAAGTTCAATTCTTGTCTCATCAGACCACATGACCTTCTCCCATTCCTCCTCTGGATCATTCAGATGGTCATTTGCAAACTTCAGATGGGCTTTGACATGCGTTGGCTTGAGGAAGGGCACCTTGCGTGCACTGCAGGATTTTAATCCTTGACGGCGTAGAGTGTTACTGATTGTTTTCTTTGAGACTGTGGTCCCAGCTCTATTCAGGTCATTGACCAGGTCCTGCCGTGTAGTTCTGGGCTCATTCCTCACCTTCCTCAAGATCAATGATGCTCCACGAGGTGAGATCTTGCATGGCGCCCCAGACCGAGGGAGATTTTCCGTTATTTTGTATTTCTTCCATTTTCTAATAATTGCACCAACTGTTGTTGCCTTCTCACCAAGCTGCTTGCCTATTGTCCTGTAGCCCATCCCAGCCTTGTGCAGGTCTACAATTTTATCCCTGATGTCCTTACACAGCTCTCTGGTCTTGGGCATTGTGGAGATGCTGGAGTCTGATTGATTGAGTGTGTGGACAGGTGTCTTTTATACAGGTCACGAGTCCAAACAGGTGCAGTTAATACAGGTAATGGGTGGAAAACAGGAGGGCTTCTTAAAGAAGAACTAACATGTCTGTGAGAGCCAAAATTCTTACTGGTTGATAGATGATCAAATACTTATTTCACACAATAAAATGGAAATTAATTATTTAAAAATCATACATTGTATTTTTCTGGATTTTTGTTTTAGATTCCATCACTCACAGTTGAAGAGTACCTATGATAAAAATTACAGTCATCTACAAGCTTTGCAAGTGGGAAAACCTGAAAAATCAATAGTGTATCAAATACTTGTTCTCCCCACTGTATATATATGTTTTTTTTTTTTTGAATGTCCAGAGGACCAGATTTAACTTTTTTTAGAAATGTTTGTGTGTATATTTACGTACCTTATATGTGTATATTTAACCTCTATACTTTGCATCCAAAGCATTACACAACAAAAATGTTTCCCTTAAATATTTATAGATAAACTACCGGGTAACTGTTCAATTTGCTTTTCTCTTCTTTTTCTTCAGCAACTGTTTAACTGCCAGTTACTCACCCGACTGAGCATGCCAGATAATGACCTGACGGTGTTGCCGGCAGCAATCGCAAACCTCGTTAACCTCAGGGAGCTTGATGTCAGCAAAAACAGTAAGCAAGATTACTAATTGTTTTTACAGTGTTTTTATGCTTTTTCCTAGAAATGTGAAAATTATCTAGTTTATTTTAAATGACCGGTACCATAAAATTTTGGCATCAGATCAGATTGTTAAATTCTGAAGATGTATTTTCTGCCACAGGTGAATTGAGCAGTTCCAAAAATGATCCACTTTAACTGTTTTTGTGCATCACAATAATGAAAAGTAAAGACTTGGCTTAATTGATAGGTTTGGATTGCATAAAGATTTTTAGAGGTAAAATGTCAGAGCAGGTTTAGTTTAAGCAATGTCACGTCACAGCATATTTTGATTATAAACCATTGATGTGATGGGTACACAAGTTCAGACTTGTCTTTCAGAATTTTTCACAGTATAACAGAGATAAAATATTACCAGCTTCTCTTCCTAAAGGGAGATTTCACTTTGGTATAGACTATCTTTGTACGAGGTGTTTTGACCAGTTTTTTACCAATACTTTTTGTTTTAAAGTGGGTTGCATTATTTTTGAATATGAAAAAGAAATTAGTTTTGCATTGATTCTGTCAAGTCTGTTTGTTTAGTTTGCCTGTTGTCACCATTGTTGTACCTTACATTTACTTGCAGCTTATTTGCTTGCTTTAGTGACAAAAGTCCTTAAATTAGATTTTTCAAACATAACCCTCAGGACTAAATATGAGATTACGGTATTAAAACTTCTAAAGTTGACACCGAAAGGTTTTTTTTTTTTTGCCTTTGTTATATTCATAAGGATGATATAGAAATTATAGCACAATTAGTCTTTTGTATAGTAAAAAAAATAAACACTTAAATAATACCTTTATATTTGACAGACTGATTTGTCTTAAAATGGCCATTTTACTCATGGATTTATAAAGATTTTAAACACATGCAGTCATTTACAAAAATCTTTTGCATTTGATTATTTATTGAATTACATTTATCACGTCATAGTATGGTTGCAAATATAAACAAGCTTAGAATGCAAAATTTGTTTAAATTCAGTTTAGAATAGAAAATTTCAGATATTTACGATAAACTGCATGAAACTGACACTCGCATAAGAAAACATCACAAGTTTTAGGAGAAAAAAGTTAAATGGAGACACATTTTCTAAAATCCTGGGCACACAAATTAAAGTCTTTTAGTGTTAATATCGTTTAATCTCAAGAACTAAAGAAGCAAAGTAAAAAGTTAAAGCCAAGTTAACATATGAGCTTAAGATCTTACTGAAATTACAATTGCATCAATCAAGCGGCACAAATTGTGTGGACATGGGATTGGAGGTATGCCTGCATTGTCTTGAGTTGCTTTGCCGAGAGGACCCAAAGGCAGTGGGGCAGCTCGGCACTCCTTGCCTTTACAGAGGGGGTTGGAGGCTCAGGTGATGGAAGCGCTGTTGTCGAGGTGGGCTTACAGCAAGGCTAACCTGTGGAGAACACCTCTTCTATCCAGTCTATCAAATGTCTGCATCTTGAAAAATAAAATGGGTTACCTGGATTTAACTACAAAACCGGATTCCAAAAAAGTTGGGACACTAAACAAATTGTGAACAAAAACTGAATGCAATGATGTGGAGGTGCCAACATCTAATATTTATTCAGAATAGAACACAAATCACAGATCAAAAGTTTACACTGAGAGAATGTATCATTTTAAGGGAAAAATCTGTTGTTTCCAAATTTCATGGCGTCAACAAATCCCAAAAAAGTTGGGACAAGTCCATTTTTACCACTGTGTGGCATCCCCCCTTCTTCTTACAACACTCAACAGACGTCTGGGGACAGAGGAGACCAGTTTCTCAAGTTTAGAAATAGGAATGCTCTCCCATTCATCATTCCAAAAAAGTTGGGACACTAAACAAATTGTGAATAAAAACTGAATGCAATGATGTGGAGATGGCAAATGTCAATATTTTATTCGTAATATAACATAGATGACAGATCAAAAGTTTAATCTGAGTAAATGTAACATTTTAAAGGAAAAATATGTTGATTCAAAATTTCACAGTGTCAACAAATCCCAAAAAAGTTGGGACAAGTAGCAATAAGTGGCTGGAAAAAGGAAATTGAGCCTATAACGAACAGCTGGAAGACCAATTAACACTAATTAGGTCAATTGACAACATGACTGGGTATAAAAAGAGCTTCTCAGAGTGTCAGTGTCTCTCAGAAGCCAAGATGGTAAGAAGATCACCAATTCCACCATTGTTGTGTAGAAAGATAGTGCAGCAATACCAGAATGGTGTTACCCAGCGTAAAATAGCAAAGACTTTTAAGTTATCATCATCAACCGTGCATAACATCATCAAAAGATTCAGAGAATCTGGAACAATCGCTGTGCGTAAGGGTCAAGGCCGTAAAACTCTACTGGATGCTCGTGATCTCCGGGCCCTTAAACATCACTGCACCTGAAACAGGAATACCACTATCAAGGAAATAACAGAATGGGCTCAGGAATACTTCCAGAAAGCATTGTCAGTGAACACAATCCACCGTGCCATCCACCGTTGCCAGCTGAAACTCTACAGTGCAAAGAGGAAGCCATTTCTAAGCAAGCTCCACAAGCTCAGACGTTTGCACTGGGCCAGGGGTCATTTAAAATGGAGTGTGGCAAAATGGAAGACTGTTCTGTGGTCAGATGAGTCACGATTTGAAGTTCTTTATGGAACACTGGGACGCCATGTCATCCGGACCAGAGAGGACAAAGATAGCCCAAGATGTTATCAACGCTCCGTTCAGAAGCCTGCATCACTGATGGTATGGGGTTGCATGAGCGCTTGTGGCATGGGCAGCTTGCATGTCTGTAAAGGCACCATTAATGCAGAGAACTATGTTCAGGTTCTAGAACAACATATGCTCCCATCTAGACGTCATCTCTTTCAGGGAAGACCCTGCATTTTTCAACACGATAATGCCAGACCACATTCTGCAGCAATCACAACATCATGGCTACGTAGGAGAAGGATCCGGGTACTGAAATGGCCAGCCTGCAGTCCAGATCTTTCACCTATAGAGAACATTTGGAGCATCATAAAGAGGAAGGTGCGACAAAGAAAGCCCAAGACGATTGAACAGTTAGAGGCCTGTATTAGACATGAATGGGAGAGCATTCCTATTTCTAAACTTGAGAAACTGGTCTCCTCTGTCCCCAGACGTCTGTTGAGTGTTGTAAGAAGAAGGGGGGATGCCACACAGTGGTAAAAATGGACTTGTCCCAACTTTTTTTGGATTTGTTGACGCCATGAAATTTGGAAACCACAGATTTTTCCCTTAAAATGATACATTCTCTCAGTTTGAACTTTTGATCTGTGATTTGTGTTCTATTCTGAATAAAATATTAAATGTTGGCACCTCCACATCATTGCATTCAGTTTTTCTTCACAATTTGTTTAGTGTCCCAACTTTTTTGGAATCCGGTTTGTACTATAAGACAAGAAAAGTGTGCAAACTGAGAGAGAATCCAGGGTTTCTTCCAGAACAATACCAACAATCACTTGTAGGATGTGAGATGGGGTTTTTAACAAACTACAAGTCTCCTCAGATGTCTTGTAGAGATTATGTGGCTTTTCTTAATTAACTAAATGATCATTTGGCAGGTTTAAGGTATGAAACCCAAATACAGTGAGGAAATCAGAGCCCCATCCAGGTGAACAGTCATTGTCTTTTGAAACCGCTGATGTCTGCAGGGTCCTGAATCACTTCAACAAGTGTGTGCGCTCCTTGCGGTGGCACCCTTTCTCTGCTAACAGAAATTTGGTCATGTGCACATGTAGGATACAGTATGTATGCTTATGATGCTGCTCTGAACGCATTCATATTTAGTACAAAAATACAAAAGTTCTAGGGAGGTTGCAGGGTGGGGTGTGAGTAATGATGTATTGGCTTTGGTGTCTCCTCAGCCACAGAGCATTAGTTAAGTGCAAACCCATACCTTTATTAATTTTTTAAATTCCACAGTCTTTGTGGGATGGGGAATAGGCATTTCCATTGCAGGGGCGGACCGCCCTCCTTGGATAACAGCAGTGGAAATATTGTGTCTTATCATGCATACGTTCTGTCAGAAGAAAATTTATAGACCTGTCAGTTTTTTTTCGCCAAAGAATCTGGTCTCTGGCTCTGGTCCTGAAACTGGTTTGTTGTGGTTTTTGAATGGTTTGGATTCATTTTACATTTAAATGAAAGAGAGTCATTTTTATTTATTTATTTTTTTTTACAATGAATTGAAATGTTTTGTAATCCATTTAGATCTTTAATTTGAATTGTAATGGTCTTTAAAAGGTGCTAATGTCTTTTGACTTACTGAAACTTGCAAAACCCTGAAGCACACAACATACTGGCAATAGCAGCTAGCTGTAGCACTTCTTGCAGAAATGTTTTCTTTCCGCCAGAATACCAGTGTGTATATTTCACAGGACAGTGAGTTATAGGTTTAAATAACAGCATTTGCATGAACCTCTTAGAAAGTTTAGGTACAGACTTGTTTTAAAACGGCAATTATCCACTTTGGTCTAGACTTCATTCAGTCTAACTTTTAGGTAAATTCCATTTCTCCAAAAAAACTGATTTAATTTAAAGTGTTATCTACAAAAGATAAAGTATTCAAGGAATAGTCAGATCTTTTTTGAAGTGACATTCACTCAGATATTTTTCAATACCTTATGATCTTATCATGTACATATCCCTTTATGTGTTCATAACTTTTCCACAGAACCCTATTTAAAAATACCCTGAATAACTCTCTTGGAATTACTTTTTGTAATAACCATAAAGTAGAAACTAACAGATAAAATTATTTATTTTAGTATTGTCTTGTTTTCAATATAAATTTCTGCAGAAAATGGTGATTTTGATGAGGGTCAGGTTTTCAAATTTGATAATTCAGACAGACAACAAGAATGGTAAAAAATTTAGTGTTTTGCAGCTGCTGGTGGGAGTCTGGATCCAGTTGCAGGAACAAATCTGCAGAGATATTATAGTTAGTGGACTGTATGTTTCAGGAAGCTTGTTTGTAAACAGAGAACAGACACTAAACTTCTCAAGCAGACGAGGTGGGCTCCACCTGTTTGAGCTCAGTGAGATGATGTCACCGTAACTGGTGAGAGGGCAGCTGTCGAGGAACGCTGTGATTAATATGGGCAGTGGGGCAACCCAAGGTTGGGGTACAAAAGATGAAGCAGGGGTCAAGCACGGGGAGTCAGAGGTCCAAAAACAAATCCAGAGGTCAGTTCGTAATCCAGAGTCCGTAGGTCAGAAGGAGTATTCATTACCAGGATCAGAGGGGCAGAACAAAATCAGATGAGGAGCAGGCAGAGCGGTAAATCCAAAAGACGGGCGAGGGGTCGAGACAAGAACATGAATGAAGCGCAGGACATCTAGTACCATGAAGAGTTTGATAATCTGGCAGAGCTTTGGTGTGGATGGGGCTCTAAGAGTCTGAGACAGATGCAGGGCATGGGCGCTGATTAGCGGCAGGTAAGTGGGCGTGGCAGGTTGCAGAGAGAGAAATATGACAGATTTAAAACGAATGAGCACAGTGCCAGCTAAGAATAACTACCATATTTTCCACCGTACATGTCGCATCACCCTATAAGTTGCATCAGTCCAAATATGTCTAATAAAGTGGAAAAATCCATGAATTTGTCGCTTCACTATATACGTCACATCTGTTATGCATCACAGCTGACTCGTCATGTTTGTTTTTGCGTCACCGCTGACAACCCGGAAATGTGGGCTGAACCCGGAAATGTGGGCCAGTGTTGTGCCAAAAATCGACTGGCTACCAAATGGCGGTCAAGGGAGTGTGCACCGGAGGACTTTTAACAAGAATTTAACAAGAGTAACACTTAAAAACTATTATATGTTTGCTCGAAACTATAGTAAATGTGTCTCTCAGTCTAACCTTTTTTTAATAAATGCACTTTGATGGTCAAATCAGCTGCATTTTCAAAAGCCAATACTTAGAAACATGAACGTGCAGAGTGCTACTCGGTCCATTTCTTCAAAATTTAACAAGATAATCACCTACAAAACAAATATTTGTTAGCTCGACTTTATATTAAAGGTGTCTCAGTTGAACTTTTACTTAATAAATACATTTTGACAGTCAGATCAGCTTAATTTCCCTAGAGCGGCGCAGCAAAATGAAGCTGATTTGGTTGCTCCAGGCAGACGGCGGTGGCAGGCTGTGGCAAGCCGGTTGTGTCATTAATAGCCACTTTTACATGATACAACGGCATTCCTTACTGCTCGAGTGCCATCTAGTGGCTGAAAATGATAGTGTTCTTTTTTTTTTTGTCAGAATGAATGAAAATGGTCATATCTCAACCTAAACTTGGTTTATAAATATGGGGAAAAAATCCATAAATACGTTCCTTCGGCCTTTAAGTCGCGGGGCATGTAAATTATGCAAAAAACTGTGACTTATAGGTCGAAAAATACAATAAATGTTTTCGGATTGTATGTTAGAATTTTTTTTTTTTTTTTGTGGTCCTTTTATAAAGCTGAGCTTCATGTTAGTGTTTACAATAAAAGGAGCTCATGCTGTCCTCAGAGCACTTTAGGCTAAGTGTTGTAGACACAAAACGAAGTAGAGGAAATAAACCTTAAAACTCGGTCATGTCCTCCTTGTAGTTTAAACATTGTCAATGTTTGGTTAAAGCTTCCAAACTGTCCGTCAAATAAGTTTTTTGTTTTCTTTCCCCTTATGTTCCATGTAGTGCTTCTCTCTGTGGCTGTTGGGAAAGAAAAGGTTGAAAGCCACCCTTCTTGTACTTGGACACAATGCTCAGGAATTTTTTTGCGTGTGTGTGTTTATAAAACTATGAAGGACATCACATGTAGTAGTTGTTTTGATTGATGGCTCTTGTATTTCTAAGTCATTGATGTCCACCCCCCTCCTCCAGGTATCCAGGAGTTTCCAGAAAACATCAAGAATTGCAAAGTCCTGACTGTTGTAGAAGCCAGTGTGAATCCTATATCCAAGTGAGTGTAAATGGATTTTGAGCATATTTTAGCTAAGTGTCACTCTTTGAATCTAACTCTGTAATGTTCTGATGCTGGACTGGGTTTTAGGAAACTTTTTGTGACTGATGCTGTCGTTCTGTGTTGTCAGGCTCCCAGATGGCTTCACTCAGCTTCTGAGTCTGACGCAGCTTTACCTGAACGATGCTTTCCTGGAGTTCTTACCAGCCAGCTTCGGCAGGTCAGTCTGTTCTCTGCTTTGTATCATGAAAGCAAACTGTAAGTCAGACATGATGTTTACCACTGAGTTATGGATTGAGTAAAGTAAGGCTGTTTTGAAGCAGAATTGTTGACTTCAAATAGCCATCACCCATCCATGCACTGATTAAGTGATGTAGAAGTGTCTCATAAAAAGCCAATGCAGGACAAATAAATCTTGGAATTTTGTTTTTGTTGTTTCGGCAGCTCCATTTTCAGAGGTCGTGATAGCAAGCAAACCTGAAAAATTTGATGATTGTTTAACTTTGAATGCCCTCCTTGATTCAACCTGGGCTCAAACCTGCAGCCTCAGGACTACAAGAGCACAGCACTGACCACCATGCTACTGTGGTCCCCTTAAAAATTATGCATTTATTGGACAGCAATTTTTTTACAAACATAGTGGGAAATAATCCAGATGCTTGATGTCTGCCAGTAAACATTCGTTCTACTAAAACATCAGTACTTTTTTTTTTACTGTGACTGATAATGTCAGAAACATGATCGTTTTTTTTTATTATTTTTCTTTTATGGCAGCAGATCTGTTTTTAGTAATAACATTTTCTGTACTACTGAACAGATTTTCATCTAACTACCATAAAGTAATGTTTGGATCAGCTGATAAACATTGGGGGTCAATGTCAAAATAGCTGCTACAGCTAAATGGCCTTGTAATTCACAAAAATGAGCAGACTTGTGAGTTTTACAGCTACTGAGCTAAACTTTGGTGTGGCTGTAGCTAAAAGTCATCCCCAACACACACACTGACATTTTGGCAGCACGACAGCTCAGTGGTTAGCCCAGCTGCCTCGCAGCAAGAAGGTCCTGGGTTCAATCCCCGGTTGGACCTGGGGTCTTTCTGTGTGGAGTTTGCATGTTCTTCTCGTGCTTGTGTGGGTTTTCTCCAGGCACTCCGGTTTCCTCCCACAGACCAAAAACATGCATGTTAGTCTGCCTTCATGTCCAGGCCTCCCTTGTAAAAGAGATCTGTGATCTCAGTGTGATTTGACTGGTTAAATAATAAATAAACAAATAAATAATAAATTAATTTAACAGATTGCACCAGACCTTTGTTTAAAACTTTGGCATTAGCTGTTGTAAGCAATCCGATTGTCTTGTTGGCAAAATATCTCATCAGTTGGAAGGTGACGTTTATTGAAACTCTCAAAGTCATCATTGGACGTAAATCTACAACTGAACTACCGTTGTCGTTTGAACAATTCAGGATGGCCACCATAGCTAATCATCCGGCTCAACAAAAGTAGTTTCTTTTAAAATGGATTTATTTTCTGCAGCATAAAGTTTTTGCCTGAAGCAATAAAGCTATAAAGAGTCAGGATTTTAGCCTCATGTTGTTATACGCAAACTTTGCTCTGTGCTCTCTCACAGCTCCTCAGTGCACAGAGGCTGTTTCCTTATTATGAAAATGTTGTTTCAAGACCATTTACCTGCTGTTCTTGACTTTCATTAATATAGATCGCTGTGGCAGATAAGACATCAGTTGGCCAGAAGTTTGCTGTCATTGTGACAAAGCTGCTTCATCTATTACAAGCTTCAGGTTAATATTGAGGCATTGATGTGTTGGATTTTGAGTATTTGACCTAGAAAACATAGACAAGTTCTCACTGGTCTCACTGATTGGGCTTTATGGATAGAATTTATTTAGCTGGACCAGCTAATGTAAAGTGTGAATTCCAACCCAACAATGGTCATTCAGGTCATCTGGACAGTTTATTTTTTTTGTTTTTTTTTGTTGAGAGACGTTTTGCTCTCCATCCAAAGGGTTTCATCAGTCTGAGGAGTCCCAAACAAACTGTTTTCCCCACTAAAGGCTCCCACATACTCGCTGGACCTCAGTCCTCGTGTACCGGATTAGACTCAAAGCAGACGCCCACAGGCACGTCTATGCAAAGATCAATTTTTAAGATCCGCATACGTGTACTCTGTGTCGCACAATAAACTGCCCGGCGACGGACTGTTTTGTATGCGACACCAATATATTAAATTCCTCTTCTTCATCCCTGATCCGGCTTTTTCTATTTTTTTTTTTTTTTTTTTTCAATATGCAAGTGATCTTTTCCTCCTCCGTTGATGTCGTGACTGAAATTGTGAGAAATGAAGGAATTTGTCACGAGCGAATTAAATTCAGGTCCAGCATGGCTGTGGGAGGGTCTGGAGGTTTTCTGGTGGGCTGGTCTGATGTGTGGGCTGCAGGACCAGTGCTCCCTGTCTTTTTATTTTTTAGAACTTTTTATTAACAACATATAAACACAGAACACCGCTGCAGCTGGGGCTGCCAGTTCTTGTTTATTTTTTTCTCGGGCTTTTAATTAGGTTAGAATCAGCCGCGATCCAATTATATGATAACATGACCTGCCATACAGCTCCAGATCTTCTGCTGCCTTTATTCACCTGTGCGTCCCCGACCATTAATAACTGAGTTGGGTTTTTTTCGGGTTCGGACCTGTAATTACTGTTCATTCATCGGGACGTGTGGGGTTCGGAAATTATGACTGCGGACTGGGGCCAGATCGGATCAGATTTTTTGGACCTGAATGCAGCTCTAGTCTCAGGGTGGTCGCTCAAGTATGAAGTCTCAACCGTCTGCGGACAGTGCGTGCAGTTTCCACACGGATTGAGGTCCGCCCGAGTCTGTGGGAGCCTTTATGGAGTTTTAGAGTGACAAATGTGCAGAAACCTTGCTGTAGCTCTTATATCAACTTAAAGATGTTTGCCAAGATGTGGTATATTTCTTGTCAAAAGTACAAGTGTACAACTGTGTAATTGCTATTCTACTCGTGGGTTTTTGTCAGACAAAAACAAAACATACAAGTGTGGTTCATGTACATTTCCTTGTTGCAGGCTGACAAAGCTACAGATCTTGGAACTGAGGGAGAACCAGTTAAAGATGCTGCCAAAGTAGGTTTTATGTATTTATTTATTTTTAATCTAAACCTTTGATACAGAGAAGTACATTTTATTATTTAACTAGAGAAATCACATTTTCTGCCAGTGTGCAGTGTGAATGTTGTTGAATGACTCTGCAGTGATTTGCTGAAGAAGCTGAAAGTAAAATTCAAGCTAAAAGACTCAAAACACCAGATAAAAGCTAAAATTAGCCAAAACTAGCTAAAAGCTCATGTCCTGAGTGAGCTGATTGTTTTGAGATATGAATGATTAAATAAGCTCAAAGGATATAGAGCTAGATACTGAACAAATGTATTGAAAAATGTTTAAAAACAGGAAATATACAACATTTGCACAACTAAAGAGCAACACGCCTGCATGTTTTAAAGTTTTCACCTATGCCTACTGTCACTTTCCTCCAACACTAATATTTTTCTGCTTCTCCTCCATCCTGCCTCAATTTTTACTTCCCCACCTCCAGCTGTGGTATTAAATTCCACTGTTACATAAAGGGCCTCTCTGCTCTGCCACTTGCTGTGACGGATTTTAGAATCGTCCACTAACTCACAGTGGTGAAGATTAATTCACAGTTTTCACAGGGAGACCAGACACCCCACAAGTATTGAAGTGCACCAGGTGCTTTTCACGGATGCTGTTTCTCCTTTTCGCCCTTTTTTATTTTATTTTAATTCCTCTTTTCATGCTTCTATTTATCATTTCATGGCCTTTCCATTTTCTTTGGTTAACTACTTTCTTTCAGTTCTCCTTGTGGTAAAGTGTCCTTTTTTTGTTCCCTGCACCTTTCAGTTAGTGGCAGGCCGGCCAGTGCTCAGAGTGCAGCTTGGTCCTGCAGCCTACAGACGATCTTCTTTTCTTGCTGTGTTTATGTGACAGAGGCCAGACCTGTTAAAAGCTGGAGGCCCAACAAAAAAAAAAAAAAAAGGACTAGTGACCGGGAAGGTGCCAGAGCAACTCACAAGCATTTCACGGATGTAAACAAATGTGTGCGTTCACAAAGGGGAGCAGCAGAAGTACTTTCAAAGCTAGTCTCATTTCTGTCTTTGTCTTGATCTGCATAGACACACATGCATAAACCAAACATCTGTCTGGATTTTAAAGAGTTCTTTTGTTTCTTTCTTCCAAGTGAGGCAGCAAAGCTTGTTCTTCCTCCTTTCAGCTTGCATGGGGGTTTGTGGTGTTCTTGCCAGTCCTGATGTGAGTCTGAAAAGCTGGACAACGCTGAGTTTCAGTGGCATGAGTAACGATATTCGCATTGCACCAAATCGTAGAGAGGTTTAAATTATTTTTATAACACATGTCATACGTGTGACATTCCTGTTCGATGAGAGACTGATGAAAGCAAAACAAGATTCCACAGTTATGGGCCTCGGCTGAAAATCAGTCCTGTTGAAGGAAACTCGTCGTACCTGCTGTGAAAGGCCATGGACCCAAACAGAGCATTGCTTTAGTTTCATTGTAAAATCTTGTTATTTTGACTGTTCCCTCTTCAGATGTCATGACAGCAAGTCATTAATACTAAAATACTAAGACCAAAAATAGACTAATACAAAAAAAAAAAAAAAAGAGTAAGTATTCTAGTATTACAGTAGTCCCTCGCTACTTTGCGGTTCAACTTTTGCGGATTCGCTATATCATGGTTTTTCAAAATAAGATTGGACATGACACAATTGGCTGCTACACTTCTCTACAATTTAAATTTAAAACATTACAGTATTTAAATTTAAATTGGTTATTTACACAGAAATAGGGAGATCGGGAGTAACAGGTGATGAGTGTGATTGCAGCCTGGCAGAGAGAGCAGAGTTCATGACATTCTCTCTCTTAGAGCGTTTAGAGTTTAGAAACATCGTTTAGAGTATGACAAGAGTGTGGTCAGGGTTTATAAAGCCTTAATTTATATATAAATACTAAAATAAACTACTACTACTTGTACTACTATCCCTATTTCGTGGTTTTTCACTTATTGTGGGGGTTCCGTACACTCCCCCCAGCGATGAACGAGGGACTACTGTAGTAATATTTTTTATATTAATCTTGTTTATGCTATTGTCTGTGTGTGACATAACTATTGCTGTGACCCTGTAATTTCCTGTAACGGATCAAAAAGCATCCATCCATCTCACTCTGTCCTCACTCCAACGACCTCCATGTTCTCTCCACTTGTCTCTATTTCTCCCCTTTGGTCTTTGTCGTTTTCTTTTTTCTGGCAGCTGGCACTCATTTTGGCCGCTTGTATCTGAGATCTCGTTCTTTCGGTCACAACACAAAGCTCATGACCATAGATGAGGGTAGGAACATAGATTGATCAGTAAATCGAGAGCTTTGCCTTTTGACTCAGCTCTCTCTTCACCACAACAGACCTGTACAACGCCCGCTTCACTGCAGATGCTGCACCTATCTGCTTATCGATATCACGCTCCATTTTTCCCTCATTTGTGAACAAGACCCCACTTGGGGCGGGATCTGCTCCCCGACCCAGAGAGGGCACTCTATCCTTTTCCGGCTCAAGACCATGGCCTTGGATTTGGAGGAACTGATCCTCATCCCGCCCACGTCACACTCTGCTGCGAACTGCTCCAGTGAAAGCTGTAGATCACGACCTGATGAAGCCAATAGGACCACATCATCTGCAAAAAGCAGAGACGCAATCCTAAGGCCACCAAAACGGATCCCATCAACACTTTGGCTGCGCCTAGAAATTCTGTCCATAAAAGTTATGAACAGAATTGGTGACAAAGAGCAACCTTGGCGGAGTCCAACTCTCACTGGGAACGAGCCCGACTTACTGCCGGCAATGTGGACCAGGTTCTTGACACCGGTCATACAAGGACCTAACAGTCTGTATCAAAGGGCCTGGTACCCCATACTCCCAGAGTACCCCCCACAGGGTTCCTCGAGGGACGAAGTCGAACGCCTTCTCCAAGTCCACAAAGCACATGTAGACTTGTTTGGGCAAACTCCCACGCACCCTCCAGGACTCTGCTGAGAGTGTAGAGCTGGTCCAGTGTTCCACAACCAGGATGAAAAATGCTCTGCTCCTCCTGAATCCGAAGTTCAACTATCCGACGGACCCTCCTCTCCAGAACCCCCAAATAGACCTTACTAGGGAGGCTTAAGATCGTGATCCCTCTGTAGTTGGAACACAGTCTATGGTTCCCCTTTTTGAATAGGGGGACCACCACCCCGGTCTGCCAATCCAGGGGAACTTCCCCCGATGTCCACGCAATATTGCAGAGTTGTGTAAGCCAACACAACCCTACAACATCCAGAGCCTTAAGGAACTCCGGGCGAATCTCATCCACCCCTGGGGCCCTGCCACCGAGGAGCTTTTTAACCACCTCGGTGACCTCAGCATCAGAGATTGGAGGGCCCGACCCAGAGTCCCCAGGCTCCGCTTCCTCAGTGGAAGACGTGCCGGTGGGGTTGAAGAGGTCTTTGAAATATTTTGCCCACCGAATTTAAGTCAGCAGCACACCACGCCCACTATAAACAGTGTTTGTTGTGTACCATACCGCTCCACACACACACACACACACACACACACACACACACACACACACACACCCCCGAGCCCCCGAGATTCCGGATGGTGGACCAGAATTGCCTCAAAGCCATGCGGAAGTCATTCTCCATGGCCTCTCTGAACTCCTCCCATGCCCGAGTTTTTGCCTCAGTGGCCACCTGAGCCGCATGCCACTTGGACTACCCGTACCTTTCAGCTGCTTCTGGGGTCCCACAGGCCAAAAAGACCTGATAGGACTCCTCCTTCAGCCTGACAGCATCCCTCACCGCTGGTTTCCACCACTGGGTTCGAGTGTTGCCGCCACGACAGGCACCGACAACCTTGCGGCCACAGCTCCGGTAAGCTGCCTCGACAATAGAGGCATGGAACATGGCCCACTCGGACTCAATGTCCCCTACCTCCCCCGGAACATGTTCGAAGTTCTCCCGGAGGTGGGAGTTAAAGCTCCGTCTCACAGGTCTGACCGGCATCCTCCCCCACCATCGGAGCCAACTCCGATGGTGGGGGAGGATGCCGGTAGGTAGTGGTCAGTGGACAGCTCCACCCCTCTTTTCACCTGAGTGTCCAAGACATGTGGTCGCAGATCAGATGAGACAACAACAAAGTCGATCATTGAACTGCGACCTAGGGTGTCCTAGTGCCAAGAGCACATATGGACACCCTTATGCTTGAACATGATGTTTGTTATAGACAATCCATGACGAGCACAGAAGTCCAACAACAGAACACCACTCGGGTTCAGATCAGGGGGGCCGTTCCTCCCAACCACACCCCTCCAAGTCTCTGTCATTGCCCACGTGAGCATTGAAGTCCCCTAGCAGGACAAGGGAGTCCGCAGGAGGTGCACTCTCCAGTACCCCCTCCAATGACTCCAAAAAGGGTGGGTAACCTGAACTGCCGTTTTGTGCATAAGCATAAATGACAGTCAGAACCCGTCCCCCCACACGTAGGTGGAGGGAGGCTACCCTCTCATTCACTGGGGTGAACCCCAACACACAGGCACCAAGATGGGGGGCAATAAGTATGCCCACTCCTGCTCGGCGCCTCTCATCAGGGACAACTCCAGAGTGAAAGAGTGTCCAACCCTTCTCAAGGAAACTGGTTCCAGAGCCAGAGCCATGCGTAAAAGTGAGTCCGACTATTTCTAGCTGGAACCTCTCAACCTCACACACCAGCTCAGGCTCCTTCCCCACCAGAGAGGTGACATTCCACGTCCCAATAGCCAGCTTCTGTAGCCAAGGATCAGACCGCCATGGTCCCCGCCCTCGGCCACCACCCGTCCCACATTGCACCCGACCCCTTTGGCCCCTCCCACAGGTGGTGAGCCCATGGGAAGGGGGACCCACATCTCCTCTTCGGGCTGTGCCTGGCCGAGCTCCATGGGTAAAAGCCCTGCCACCAGGCACTCACCAGCGTGCCCCGCCTCCAGGCCTGGCTCCAGAGTGGGGCCCCGGTGACCCTCGTCCGGGCGAGGGAACTTTGAGTCCATTTATTTTTCTCATCATAGGGGTGTTTCGGCTGCACTTTGTCTGGTCCCTCACCTAGGACCTGTCTGCCTTGGGTGACCCTACTAGGGGCGTGAAGCCCCTGACAGCATAAAGTTAAACTAATATTAGTTAAAATTAACCGAGGATAAAAGAGGAAAAACACGTATCTTCCAAAAGAATATTTTAAATATTTTGTACGAAAAAGTAATGTTTTAAAAAGTTTATTTTGGTTTATCTCGTATTGTTTTTAATATATATTTTTTAAAGGCTCAGCATTTTTTGAACAAATCAATATTGTCTGCCACTTCCTTAAAGGTCAATCAACATTTGTCTCATGGTTCATGAGATATTTTGTTAACAGAAACATGTGGTTGACTCTGAAATAGCTGATACATTTTTAAACAAAAATCTTTTGCGGTTAGTTGGCTCTCAAATTGTGTTTTGGGATCAGTCTCAGCTAGTACCTAACAGAATGTTTGGTTAGTGTCTGTAAGGCTGAATTCTAGCCACTATTAAGTTGCCTAACTATGACAGCCATTTTGAGGTCCAGTACTTCAAAAGTTATTCGGTTGTAGATGTACATGTTTCATTCAGATTCATCTAGAGGCTGACAAGATATTTTTAAAGAACATGCACAAATACACAAACAAGGACAGGATTATGGTTGTCAGCAGTGGGTGATGATCTAGAAATAGGTTATTGTTTCCTGTCCATATAGCTCATGCGATTTTACTGAATGTTTGTTTCTTCCTGTGCGTTAATAGAAGCATGCAGAAGCTCACGCAGCTGGAGAGGCTGGACCTGGGCAGTAATGAGTTTGCTGAAGTGGTGAGTGTCTGTCACCGCCCAAAACACACCACCTCTCTGGAGGTGACCTCACCTCTTCCTTCCTTTAGAGTACAGTTGGAACACAAGTACAGGGGTTGAAGTTTCATTTTCTTACATCCATCCTCGTCTGACCTGTATTCACTGTGCCCTTTCTGCTTCTGCAGCCGGAGGTCTTGGAGCACCTGAATGGACTCAAAGAGCTGTGGCTGGATGGGAACAAACTGACTTATCTTCCCGGGGTAGGACTCACAGGAATGTTTTCACTCACTGCTCTGTCCAAAAACATTATCTTGAGATAATTTCCCTCGCTTTCCTTGAGCCATCTGTCTTCTTACATTTCCATCAAATAAAACAGCAGTCAGTCTGAAACACTCTTTTAGCTCACAGTTTTCAAACGGTTGAGGTTGCTGACATCTTCATTTTTGAACAATAAGTCTGGAAGTGATTTTAAAAAGAATTGATTTTTCTAAAACATGAATGATTTATAATGTGTATATATATATATATAATTTATTAGGCTTGATTCTTTCTCTAAGCAAATGATCTGCTTGCAGAAAATGTGTCACAGCTTTAGTTCTACTGGCAGGCTGTTCATCACATCAGCTGCAGTTACATGCTGGCTTTTTATTGGCAATAAGGCAAATAAAACCAAAGCTGCTGCTCTACGTTTTCCTTCATGTCTCATAGACTTTTGTTTAAAATATGAAAATACACCCAAGACTGATTTCAGCTTAAAAATAGTGGTAGAATATTAATCATTACAAATACTTTAAAAATGTTACATTTTTAAGTACTTTTTTATTTTATGTTAAATATAAAATATTTCAGTTAAGGGTCATTAAGTATTGCTTTCACACACTACTAATGTGAAAGTAGTTATTTTTTCCTACATGCCCCCCTTTGTTTGTCCAGATGTTTGGGATGCTAAAACAGCTGGTTTACCTGGATGTGTCAAAGAACCACCTGGAAATGGTTGATGAAAAAATCTCCGGCTGTGAAAATCTGCAGGACCTCCTCCTCTCAAACAACGCCATCACTCAGCTGCCCGGCTCAATCGGTAAACACTTTGTCTCTATTGTTCACAAATATCCTGATAAAGCTGTCTTAAATACTCCTTTATTACTCCTTCGCTACTTCCATTTGTTTATAAACAGTTTTCTTCCAAATATTAGGAAAAAATAAATCATTAGATCTATATATACTTATGTAACTAAATGTCTTTACAAGACAGTGGTGAGACCAGCTTTGTTGTATGGTCTGGAGACAGAGACATTGAGAAGAAGACAGGAGAAAGAACTGGAGGTGGTGGAAATAAAGATGTTGAGGTTCTCCTTAGGAGTGACAAGGATGGATAAGATTAGGAATGAGATCATCAGAGGTACAGCACAGGTTGAACAACTGGCAGATAAAGTTGTAGAGACCAGACTGAGATGGTTTGGACATGTCCAGAGGAGGGACAGTGGGTATACTGGTAGAAGGATGTTAGAAATGCAGCTGCCAGGAAAAAGACAAAGAGGAGACATATGGATGCATATAGAGAGGACATGGAGGTAGATGACTTGCTGTGGTGACCCCTGAAGAAGGAAAATCTGAAAGAAGAAGAAGAAGAAAAAAATATTAAACTAAATCAAATTTACAACAGTGGTGGTGCAGAGGTTAGAGAACGTGAGCCAGGAATCGGAAGGTTGCTGGTTCGACTCCCCGGACTGACAACATCAAAATGTGGGTGGGATAGGTGAAGTGCACACACCTGCCCCCATTTCCCCCACTCTGTGCCCTTGAGCAAGGCCCTTAACCCCCACCATCTGCTCCCCTGGGTGCCCTAGGTGGCAGCTCTGCTCCACACAGAGGGCTGTGGTAACTCGGTGGTCTGTGGTTGCATTGAAGGGCATCCGGTGTAAAAATAATCACTAAGTCTTCGTGTGTATTAGTTTGCTGTGGCGACCCCTGAAGAAGGGAGCAGCCGAAAGAAGAAGAAAATTTTCTTTTCATTAACTTATGTAAGAAAGTGACCTTGATCCATCCATTGTCTTTTACCCGCTTCTTCCATTTTGGGTCACGGGGGTCACCGGTGCCCGTGTCCAGCAATCACTGTGCGAGGGGCGGGTACACCCTGGACACGTCTCCAGTCCATCACAGAGACACATAGAGACAAACGAGACAAACAACCATTCACTCTCTCACTCACACCTAAGGACAATTTAGAGTTACCAATCAGTCTAACATGCATGTTTTTGGTCTGTGGGAGGAAACCGGAGTACCCGGAGAAAACCCACGCATGCACGGAGAGAACATGCAAACTCCACCCAGAAAGGCCAACATTTTTCAGTCAGGTCATCTGGACAGTTTCTTTTTTTTTTTTTTTTTTTTTCTTTTGCGCTGAAACGTTTCGCCTTCGATCCAGAAGGCTTCATCAGTCAAGGAAACACACAACAAAACTGATTCTTCCCCCAACAGCTTACTCCAAAGTGGAACAAACCAAACCAAAGTGGAAAAATGTTGGATTGTATACCTGGATTATTGAGCATGGACTTTGTTGTTTTCAACCAGTTTGACAAGACTGTCAACAAGGAAGAGGGCCGGCAATGGAGGAGGGGCCGTACCAAAGAGACCATCTTATCACAAGCAGAACTGGTTTGTTCCACTTTGGAGTAAGCTGTTGGTGGAAGAGTCAGTTTTGTTGTGTGTTTTCTTGACTGATGAAGCCTTCTGGATCGAAGGCGAAACGTTTCAGCACAAAAAAAAAAAAGAAACTGTCCAGATGACCTGAGTGAAAAATGTTGGATTGTGTACCTGGATTATTGAGCATGGACTTTGTTGTTCACCCAGAAAGGCCCCCAGACTGGGATTTGAACTGGGGACCTGCGCGCTGAGAGGCAGCAGCTCTACCATTTGCACCAGTGACCTTGATCATTTAAAAAATAATATTCCTTCATCTCAGCCAGCGATCTGCATTCTGAGGCTCTGGAGCCACACGTGGCTCTTCAGTCCCTCCGCAGTGGATCCTTAAAACTTGAGTCAGAAAAATGATGAACCTGAGAAATGTTTCTACATAATTTAACAAAAGGAAACGGTTGTCTTCAGCTGTTTTTCCATTGATGTATTTTTAGGGCCTTAGAAATGCAGAAAACACTGATGGAATCACAAAACTTCACGTTAAAAGTGGAATTTAGTGTAAAACGCTGAATGTTGCAGAACTTTCTTTCTCGTCTTTGTGATCTGATGAAGGATGAGAGCTGCAGCCTCCTGTCTGTGTGATGTGAGGAGAGGGCTCAAAACAAAGAGGTCTGCTGCAGCCTGCAGGCATCCGGAAATTAAAACATTTAACACAAAGCAAAGTTTATAGCAGAACAAGATCTAAACTAAGCTTATGAATTAGGAGAGCACCCTTCCAGTATGTTTTGTCAAATGCCGCAATAAAATGTGACAACCTGAAAAACTGAAGTGTCAAATCAAAACAATGGGGAAATGTGATAATCTTATCACTGTCATCACATGCGAGACTTATTTTACAAAAAGACAAGAAGGTTATTATTTAAAAATGACTAACAGGCAGACTTAAAATACCTGAATAAATAAAGCATGCACTTTTTAGATGAATTAAAACACTTGTATTTTTATGTTTTTGTTACATTTTGTCAAAACTCGTGAAATGTTAAACATTCACCTGTTGAATTGGTAAAAATATATCAGTCCACTATATAATAAGATATGTTTTAGGTGAAAAATTGAACTGCATTTCAAAGAAATACTGAATTTGAGGGGAAATGTCTTCATAGGGCCCTACGTGTGCAGAATTTCTGCAGCAGAGTGACTAAAGATACAAGTAGGGTGGACTTCCTGTAGGAAACCAGTTTCTATCAGTCATTAGCAGATTAGTGAATTTCCACTTTGGGAGACATAGTTTTTATCTGTCCATCAATTTATTTTATTGTGTACATGTACAGCTTTCTGTCCTCTCAGCACCAGAGTTTGACTGACTCAGTTTCTTCACCTGCTCCTTTTAGCTTGTTGTTTATGCAACTGCATGACATACTTTACTGTCCCGATAAATTAATCTTTAATAAGTTAATCTTATAAGAATCTGAAAAATAAAACTCTGCCTTTTAATAAAATCTTGTCACGTTAAGAACTTTAAATGAATAAAGGCTATTGCTCTGTTCTGTCATTTTAAAACTGTTTTAGATAAATCAAAAATTCTGATCTTTTTTTTTTTAATTTAATTACCAGGTACTTTAATCTGCAACTTAGTTGTTTAGTTCTGAAGTTAGCTACTTACCGATTTTTCCTCCGTACACGTCACACCGCCCTGTGTCGCATCAGTGCATATATGTCTAATAAAGTGGAAAAAAAACATCAGTGCGTCGCTTCGCTGTATACGTCACATTTATTATGTGTCACTGCTGACACGTCACGTTTGTTACATGTTTCATCGCTGACAAACCGGAAATGTGGGCCGCTCTGCCAAAAATTGATTGACTGCCAAATGGCGGGAGCGTGCACAGGAGGACTTTAACAAGAATTTTAACAAGATTAACACTTAAAAACAATTGTTTGTTTGCTCAACTTTATAGTAAAGGCGTGTCTCGGTCTAATTTTTCCTTAATAAAAAGACTTTAACAGTCAAATCAGCTGCATTTCAAAAATATTTGCAGCCTCGGTGCTCCGGGAGCGAGCAGACAGGGAGGAAATTAGAAAGGAGGGACGCTGCACATTTCTTTGAAATTTAACAAGAAAAGCACCCAAAACAATTATTTGTTTGCTCGACATTATAGTAAAGATGTGTCTCTGTTGAACTTTGACTTAATAAATTCACTTCAATGGTCAAATTAGCTGCATGTCGCCGGGGCGGTGCAGCAAAATGAAGCTGGTTTGACGGTTGCGCCAAGCGAGCTGGACGAAGGTGAGAAGCTATTGCAAGATGATTGTCATTAATATCCACTTTTACCTATTACATGATGCAACAGCATGCCATACTGCTCGAGTGCCATCTAGCAGCTGAAAATGGTAGTGTTCAATATTTTCAGTCAGAATGAATGAAAACGGTCATATCTCAGCCAAAAATTTGTTTATAAATATGGGAAAAATCCATAAATACGTCGCTTCGGTGTATAAATTGCAGGGCATGCAAATTGTGCAAAAACTTTGACTGATAGGCTGAAAAATACGGTAATTTACTTATTTTCACAAACGGGGAAGGCTCAAACAGGTCTGCATCATCATCTGCTGTTGCCAAGCACAAAGGAGTAGTTGGAAATATCCTCCCTCCATCTGTTCGTCTGTGAATGTTGTGAGTGTGATAACTTGAAAATTAAGTAAAGTACCGACTTCCATTTTGGTGTGTGGCTGCATGTAGGTGTAAGAGAAATATCTTTAAAAAACTGGGATGCCACGTCAAAATTCAAGATCCACCACCGTATATAATGTTCAACCAGCCACCCCAATAATTTGAGGAAAGTATTCTTTTAAGAAATATCAAAACTAGAAAGGTTTCCTCAATTGACTGGGGTGGCCGAAGATTAATCTATAGTGGCCAAGACCACCGCTGGCCACCCTCTAGCTCCTCCATTACACCCGGTGGTGGATAAAACTGCTCCCTCCACTTGTCAGGATGTCACTCTGCGCAGCCTTGGACAAGAAAAAAGCTCTCTCTCTCTCTTCTTATACACAATGTAACGCCTACCCACATGAACTGCACCAAAACATTAAGGTTTAATTGCATCCTGTGTTCAGTTCCAGTCCAGAAAAGCACTCATCTTGAAAACTACAAACATTCGCTATTCAAATCCTTCAACAATGGGGGGCATCAACGTACCTCTTGTTTTTAACAGATGAGCATTAATTTCATATACAGAACTATTTTTTCCCTTTTACCCTAGCACTTAAAGATAGAAATATGCATAAGTTTGTAAATTTTAACATATTTTTTTAGTTTATTAGATGTTGTATACACTTACTTTTAAGTATGAATCAGTTGTGTTATCTTTAATTTATAGAGGAAGTTGATTTTGTGGTATTTATTTACAGTTTTTTTTATTTTAGTAGGCGAGAGTACCCTTTTAGATGTAAACATTTAAGAGCCCTGATCTGGTCAGGTTTGTTCTCTTAAAGCCAGTGTGATCAGTCATGTGCACAAAATGTTTGCAGCAAATTAATTATTTTCAATATTATTTTTGTTTGTTTATATTTTTGTCAATTCAAAATTTGAACGCTAATCATGAATTGATCCACACAAATAGACAAATAATAACTGGGATTTGGTAAATAAAACTTGGACTACATTTGCTTGAAAATGATGTTTTGACATATTAAAACATAATGTGCACATTTAGAACTACTTTGTTGTTCATTCCGTGGACAAAATAGGTTCAGACCTAGTTCACTACACAGGAAAACAAAGTCAGCTGAGCCGATGTAGATCCCTGTCAATATCTGGGTTGTATTGATGTCAGTTCTAATGAATCTAATTAACTACTCTAATGGATACTTCTCTTTAGTGGTTAAACAGTGATTGAGAATCAATAATAGCACTGGGTGATTGTTTAGTCTAATCCAGTTTGTGTTTTTAGGCTCCTTGAAGAAACTGACGGCGCTGAAAGTGGACGAAAACCAGCTGATGTACTTACCAGACTCCATTGGGGGGTGAGTGTTGGAGCAGCATCTTTAATGTCAGTGGATTATTTTTATTATGCATCAACTGATCACAAATCCAGGCTAAATCTGATGTAATACTGAACGTTATGGTCTTTGGTATGTTCTGATGTGTGCTGAGCATATTCTGAGACATGCTAACACTCAAAGATTTGTGAACATGCTGAATAATAGGGTTTGATTGAAATGGCGTCTTTTTTGTGGAGGAGCTAATGCTTAATAAGACTGGCAAGAATGTCCCTACATGAAGTACTTATGGATCCAATCAACGGCAACTTTTCCCAGGTTGATCATGTGCACAGCAGACAGGTAAATCCAGCTACAGGCCGCTGCTGAATACAGAGTATGCTTGCATTACATGCTGAACATTTATATACTTTGAACCACTGTGAAAAGATTGGACTTTATTTAATTAAAAACATTTCACTTCCACATCTGGAAGTTATATCTTTATTTGTATTTTTTATTAAATGTTTTGAAACATCGTCAGTTATCACTATATATCAATACATTTCTGTGTGTATGTTGACTCATTATGTGATAAAGCCTATGGTTTAAGTTTAGTCCCATACAAGGAGTTTTTATTTGGTGTGTGCAGTCGTTTTTTTTTTTTTTTGCACAAGGAGGAATTTACTTTTGTTTTGGGAGTACTGTAGAAGGTTCCTATGCAGTCTGGAAAAAGTCTGGAATTTATTTTATCTATTTATATTTTTCAATCCATCCATCACCTTCGTCATGTTTTGGTGTTGGGTCACTGGGGCAGCAGCTTGAGCAGGGCAGTCCAGACATCTCTTTCCACAGCCACCTCTTCTAGCTCTTCTGGGAGGACCCCACGGCATCCCCAGGCCAGCTGAGAGACATAGTCTTTCCAGTGTGACCTGGGTCTTCTCCGGGGCCTCTTCACAGTTGAACACGGTCGAACGCCTTCTCCTAGTCCACAAAACATGTAGACTGGATGGGCAAACTCCCACGACCCCTTGAAGACCCTAGTGAGGGTAAAAAGTTGGTCCAGTCTTCTACTTTCAGGATGGAACATGCATTGTTCCTCCTGGATCTGAGGTTCAACCAACGATCAGACTCGCTTCTCCAGTACCCCTGAATAGACCTTACCAGGGAAGCTAAAGAGAGTGATGCCCCTTTAAGTGGAGAACACCCCCTGGTCCCCCTTTTTGAAGAGGGGAACCACCACCCCAGTTTGCCAATCCAGTGGCACTGCCCCTGATGTCTATGTGATGTTGCAAAGGCATGTCAACCAAGACAGCCCCACAACATCCAGAGCCTTAAGGAAATCAAGGTGGATCTCTTCCACCCCCAGAGCCCTGCCACCATGGAGCTTTTTAACAACCTTGTTGACCTCAGCCACGATTATGGACAGATCAACCCCGAAGTTCCTCGACTTAACATAAAAGTCCAGATGGATGACTGCCAACGACCCACCTGCAGCTTAACTAGACCCGCAGCCGCTGCGTCAGGGGACGTGCGCGGTCTACGACCATATAAGTCAGAGTCAGAGATTCTTTATTGTCATTTGCACCTCATGTGGTACATGTGGTGGAGCGAAATTATGTACACAGGGTCCCAGTTACATCCAACAACAAAATGTAAAAGAAAAACAATGATAACATCTAAGATATGAACTAAGAAACACATCAACTAAATATACACTAAGCACTCATAACATAAAAACATTACATCGAACATCAGCACAAACATGAACATGAGTTTGTGTGAGCAGATGAGCACGCATGAACACATCAACATTGAAACAGATCAGCAGCAACATTGAAACAGATCAGCAGCAACATGGAA